CCCCAAAACCCCAAAACCCCTTCGACCTAAATTCTTATAATTATAGAATTTTCTGCATAATTAAATTAAAAACTAATGAATCATATAATCTTCTTGTCACATCGCAATATATATTCAGATCCTTTACAATTAATCATAGTGTAGAATTTTATTTCATTTCTTTGTCATCATCCGTACTAACCTAAGCATACACAGTTTAATTTTAAATCTTATTTTGGCTTTCTTAATCACTTTCTTAAGCAATTTCCATTTTCTTAGCTTTCACTTTATGAGACTCTTTTGAAATAATACTCCCTTCATAATCGAAATGAAATTCCAACTATATATGCAAATGACTAAACTTTACTAATTTAGCTTACCCAAGATGTACCACACTCAAGTCTAAGTATTAAGTTAACTCGTTTGGGATTCAATTTTTATCTATTTATTCGACTTATGAGAGACTAAGTTTCTTTATAAGCATCTTTAACGCAAGTGTAAGGTAAAATAAAAGATAATCCCAAAGTGAATGGACAACAGCAATAGCCAATACAATGGCAGAGTGGACAAGGAAAATATTCGTACAAAGTATCATTTATAGTGTCCATCACAGCTGAATACTCTTTGGGAGTTAAATATTACTACAGTTTTGGGTGATACTCATCATAATCAGGTTCAAACTACTGTGCTAATCCATTAACAAATGTTTTACCTATAATTGATTAAGTATACAAAATGTTAAAGTCTACCATGAGGATGAACTACAAGAATTTTTTCAGAAGATTTAGGGATATGCCTATTAAAAGCAAAATCTAACATTTTTAAAACAGAATTTATATAAATAATTTGCTATGACATAAAAAATCATCATTATTTTAAATTATCTCAGTGCAAAATAAAAATATATCAAGAGATATCAAATCAAAAATCGTTTCGGATGGGTTATGCTCTCTCATTAGAAGTAATTTTCTTGCTAGACTTTCTGACCATAAATTTGGTCAGTTTATGTGTATAAGAATTTTCATCAACTTTAGCAAAAGCTTAATTTAAATTTATGCTTTAGATCTCAAGATCAACTTTGTATCTCTCTTTCTGCTTAACATCTTCTAGAAAACTTTGCTACTCAGTCAGATTCGCTAATAAATCTTTATAATTAGGTTACTTCAATTCTTCTCTAGTTGACGTTTAGTTCTTTTAAGGGTTAGAAATTCTAGGTTCAATAAATTTAGACCTCTGCTACTTTACTGTTGAGATAGATCTCGGTTACCGGAAGCCAGTCTCAAATGTTTAAGGTCTATGATGTTTTAACTCTTGCAAAACTTTTTCTTCAATCTGCTGGAATGCAATTTTGTAATATTTGCCAGGGTGGCCGATTCTGGAGAGTAGTTCTTTTCTTTTTCTTTCTTTGATTTGGTCAAGATCAAGCTAAGCTCCAAAGGGATACAGTGAAAAACTAGTAGGCTAAATACCATATTTAGAACCAATCATAGAATCTCTATGGCTGTCAAGCTTGAAAGAAGTCTTAGGCTTCCTTGAAAAATCTCTTACTTGAGGATCTCTCTAAGTGAAATTCCCAATTAATTAATTTTTCTTTTCCTCTATACTATTATTTAATGGCTGTTGAGTAGAGTTTCTCAAAGTACTATGAAATGTCTTATTGATATCAAGTTATGGCTCTAGATATTAGTCAAAAATTTTATTCTTTGATATTTCTTAGCCTTCATAATCATACTCTGTGCTTAATTCTAAGGATTTTGACATTTATAGCAGTTCATCTTGCTCTTTTCTTTTTTTCTTCTTCAATAGATTTCTCTGCAATTTCTTCTTTTCTGAGAGTTTCAAAATTTTAGTTTGGCTATTATTATCTTTTCTCTATTAGATTACATAACCATCATACTCTTCATCGTTAGATCCATATTTCGTTATTGGATTCTTCTTAAATCTCTCATAATATAGATATTTTCGTGGATTCTAGTCTATATCAAGAGCCTTAAGGACAATTTTATTGACTTAGAGAGATGTAAGCTTTTTCTAATGATTTTCCTTGCTTTGATTTAGCTGCAAATTCTATAATGTTTTATTGATAACACTCAATACTGGTTTACTGCTAACCTCTATTTCATTTTAAAGAAAATAGCCTCTCTGCTGGCATTCTAATTTTGTAGATCGAGCTTCCAATTTTTATCGATAGTGGATTATTTTTCTGTTGGGATAAGCATCATACTCTTGAGCCATCTTGTTGTAAATGAGTATACGATTCTATTTTTCCTTGTTAACTGGGGACACTTAATGTCTTGGACTTATATTCTCTGTTCTTAATCCCTATCTAGTCTACACCAATTGCTTTGAATCATTCATTTTGAACGACGAACGTGTGATTCTAGTAGAGTCATTGTGGTTTGCATTTTCATTTGAGTCTAAACTGTACCTTCTTCGAAATCCAGGCTTTATTCGTTATCGGACTTTTCCTATAATGTTGTTTTTCAAATCCTCCTCTGCTTCTTTCTCCCTCATCAATCTCAGCACTTGCTCGTAGTCTGTAATATCATACTTTGATTGCATTCTTAGTTGATGCTCGGTATACTCTCATTTGGCTCTTCTAAGTGATTACTTCATGTGAGTAGGAAATAGTTTATTTAGATTTAGTTTCATGATTATTGCAATGAGTATTTAAAGTTCGCTGGTTAATAATTTAATAGAAAATAATTATTTTAATATTCTCAGTATTGCTCATTTATCGAAAAATAAAATAATAAACACCTTTTCAATTCAATGTCCCTTTTACATTTAAATATAGAAATTTTATTTATCTTACAACCAACTCTCCTACTTATGTGGCTTGATGGGGTTTTGGGGTTTTGGGGTTTTGGGG